AAGACAATCTTAATTTGAATTGCGGACGACCAAAGGGATTAAGATTGTTGTTTCGAAAGAAGTTCAGCGTTCGTGATATTCTTAGCTGGTCTAAAGATCCAATACCACAACCAATGTTGGTGGTTGTAGATGGTGAAAAGTTACTGAAACGAGAAGCTTGTAATCTGTTTAGATTGGTGCAAGTGTATATGGGTGATCGAAAAACTAATGTAGGAATGACATTAGATAGTGTAGCTATGGACATTGTGAATACAGCGTATTCGAAACCACCATTGCGAGATGAATTATACGTCCAGATCTGTAGACAAACTACAGAAAATCCACGGAAAGATAGTTTACGTAGAGGCTGGGAATTAATGGCTGTCTGTTTAGCTTTTGTGCCGCCCAGTGCCACTTTCGAACCTTATCTTGAAGGTTATATGAACAGACATCGTGATCCTAATTTTCAATTTCCGGAAGTGGCCAAATGGCCAATTCATGTACAAGTTAGTCATTATGCAACCGTTGCATGTCGTCGTTTGCAACGAATCGGAGTACATGGCAAACGGCAACCTCGCAAGGCTACTATAGAAGATATTGATCAAGCAAGAGTATGTTTTATTTTTTTATAATATAATTTTATTTTATATTAATTAATAATAATTTTATTTTATTATTATATATTTTATTATTTTATTTTATTATATTTAAACTATGTTTTCTATAGTAATATTAATATTATCTTATTGAAATATTTATACGATTTTTTATTTAATTCTCTAATTACAAGATTCATTAAAATTACGATAACTTATTTCGTTTCATTTTGTAAACTTTGAAATTATTATATAATATTTAGTTTTCAGGATATTTTTTAAATATATATTCCCACAATTAAAACTGTCTGTTTTAAAGATTAGAAGATCTCATCTAAAATGTTTTCAATGAAGTTTTTATTATTTTACGTATTATTAATATAATGCTTATAACGAATCAAAAATGAATAAAATACAATGAATAAAATTAATTTACGCTTATGTATGAAGAATTGAAAATTCGGCTGGAGAATTAAACATTTAATTCTATCTAAAATATTTGAACAAAATTTTTATACATCTTATATTTTGTATTATGTTGAAAAGAAATACTTAAAAGAAGGAAATACTTATACAGATCTAATGACTTATTTTTCATAAATCCAATTAATTATAAAAATAGTACATAGTATATTGAAAAATTTTATATTTTCAAATCTATCATATAATAATGACAGAGCAAATTTCTTATGCAGACTTCTTTATTTTTATAATGTCTAGATTTCTTTCCAATTTTTGTATCATATATATATTATCAAATCTAAAAAAAGGATTTAATAAATGATACTTAATATACTTAATATATTTGATAACAATATAATATAAATATTATTGATAAAAAAACATATTCTCTTATTTTTTATTATCATTTTGAAAAATAATTAATTAAATATTGAATATGAAAGTTTATGAAAGTTTAAAGAAGAAGAAATTAGAAGAAATAAAGATTTGAAAATAGGTATCTAAAAACTTTTTTTTTAATTCTTAATTTATTTAAAATATATAATAAATATATAATATATTATTCTAAATATAATATATAAAATATATTATTCTAATATAATATTGATATATAATGGTACGTAATAGTTTTAGTTAATGATTTTTGTTTTTGATACAATAGTTTGAAATCTTTTTTTTTCTTTATTTTTTATTTACATTTTGGAACTTTATTAATGTAATATAAGCAAATAAACTATTTTAAACTTCTTTACACTAGAAAGAATATTTAAATTTTTTTTTTTTTATTATAGATTCAAATTTTCCGAGCATCCATGTTTGGAGCAACATTATCAGAAGTGATGGCTCTGCAAAAAGATAGATTTCCAAATCGAGAATTACCATGGATACAAACAACATTAACACGTCAAGTATTAGCTCGAGGAGGTATCTTGACGGAAGGAATTTTTAGAGTGTCTGCAGACGCAGACGAAGTTAATGCTTTAAAGGCATGCTTGGACAGATTCGAGGATGGTACGATTTTGGCAGCTTCTCAAGATGCTCATGCACCTGCTTCTTTATTAAAATTATGGGTTCGAGAGCTTTACGAACCATTAATACCTGATTCATTTTACACGGAATGCGTGTCTATGAGGCATGATGATACCGAAGCTTCTGCAGTTAATGTCGCTGCGCTTGTAAATCGTCTGCCTGATTTAAATCGTCGCGTTCTTTGCCATTTGATACGATTCCTCCAGGTTAGTATTTAGTATATAGTATTTATTGCTATCAATAACCTTTATTTAATAAATATAAATTGTTATATTTAAACATTTTACTTTTTAAATGAAAAAAATAATTTATATTTACTTCTTTATTAAAATATTATATTCTTTTTTTAAAGAAGTTTTAATAAACAAGTAGAAAATTTTATATTATTTATGATATTTTATAAAATTTACAATTCTGATTGCTAGTATCTTTCTCATATGATATAAAGATTGATATTAAAAATTTTAAAAGTAATTATAAAAAGATTTAATATATCTATAAAGATATAATATAATTATAGATATTTATAGATATTTAAAGATTTAATATATTTATAGATAAAAAACATAAAAATAATTATAAAAATATTATTTTAAAGATTATTTTAAATTATATAATAAATATAAATAATTTTAAAAAATTGAATTAATTCCAAAAATAAAAATTAAGTGTTATATTATTAATATAAAATAAGGGAGTTAAAAAATATTAAAAAATAATAAAAAATAAAATAATAAAATACATTATTCATCATATAGGCAAGTAGTGTTTAATATTATCTTTTGACAATATGAAAATTAAAAAAAATTCAAGCCAAATAATTTAAAAAATAATTGTTTTTTTATCAAGATTTTTCTTTTATTTTCCAATATTTTTCTAATACATTTCATTAATTGTGTTATGTATAATAAACATTTAAAATATAAAATTTATATGTATTATATTACATATAATCGACTACTTCTCCAAATCTTTTTCGGAATATATAATTGTAAGAATTAATATATTATTTTTCAATTACTCAATTAACGAAGTTGCGATTTATTAATCAAATTATATTTTTATTTATTTAAAATTTTCATGTTAAATAAATAAAATCGATATTAATCAAAAGTTCTATTTATTTTTATTATTAAATTTGTCAAAAAGAGATTTAATGAAACTAACGAGTTTATTACTGTGACTTCGTTTTTTTTAGTTTATCTTTTTAGTTAATTTTTTGTAACATATATAATGTAATAAATATATAATTTTTATTTCAGATTTTCGCCAGACCGGAAGTCGTTGCTCGCACTAAAATGGATGCAAATAATTTAGCAATGGTGATGGCACCAAATATATTGCGATGTACTTCGCAAGATCCCCGTGTGATCTTAGAAAATGCACGAAAAGAAATGGCTTTTGTTCGTACTCTTATCGAATCATTAGAAACTGCTTGGGTCGATGATCTTCACTGACCATTTTATGCACACTAGGAGAAATAACACTCTAGACTACTATGCCAAATGAATCAGCTGTATATTCACATGTATCGTTAGTTGTTTCACTGTTCTCTATTATTATTCACTTTTGTTTTTCTTTTATTTTGTCATTATCATATATGACATCCCATATAGATCTGTGGATGTTCATTATTGTAATTTAGTGCTAAAGTCTTACCAATCACTGATCCTGCTCTTTGTTTTCCTATTTATTATTTATATACAGATTATATGTTATACAGATAGAGATTATTAGATTATATTATGTATATCGCTATATATTCATATTATATATTTTACCAATTCTTGTTACCGTGTTGAACAAACGCGGACGGCTTTTTTACTCGATCATTGTTGAATCTCGTGTAAGATAAAAAATGATGTGTTACCGTGTATAGCTGCACTCCGCGATAATCTTTTTGTATAAGCAACAAATTGGCGTGTACAACGTTTATCGAGGAGTAAATATTGCAAAAAATTAGCAAGTTGTATAAGTGTATTTCTTTACCTGTAGCCTTTGAAAACTTACCTTTCTATAAAAAATCTAAAAAAGAAAAAAAATTATTTTTTCAATAAAAATATCATTATCGAATATCGTGATTATTAATCAAAACATTTTACATCGTGTTATATTATAAAATGGTTTTTAATGTTAAAAATATTGAACAATTTACAATACAAGATATTTGTATCATTTACAATTTATTTTGTACAATTAATCTCAAAAGTTACCAATATAATATAAATATAAATATATATATATATATATATATTTATAAATAATATTTAAAATATTATATATATAAAATTTAAAATTTATATATATAAAAGAAAAAAATATCACAAATTATTGTCGCAATTACATCCCAAGACAGTATTTTTTATGTAAATATTGCATAAAAATATATGTAGATACAATTTACATTTGAACCAAAAGATATTTGCGTTAGCAATTTCCGCCAGAAATCATCAATCACAAAGAATTATCTGCTTTTATACTAATATTAGCATTTAATTACATCTACCCAATTTTATGTACAAGATATTGATGGTAATACTGCTGTTGATGAATATCCAGTTTTTTTATATTACATTATCATTTCGATCGAGTAGAATATTTATATTTCATCATAACTTTATAAAAAAGAATGTGAATTCCTCCGTTAAACTGATTCATCGAGATTTTGTGTAAAAATTTTTTATAATGATACTAAATTTTTTAAAATATTTTTTTGTGATATGTGAACATAATTCCACCATTTTTTTTTCGAAAGATAAGTATTGCTGTTTTACGATTTTTTTTATCTGTGAATCATACAACTCATTTTTTCAGTTGCTATAATGTATGTTTTTTTAAAATAAATTTTGTCAAAATGAAATTGATTAAATTGATTTTTTAATAAAAAAAAAAAAAAATAGAAGAATACATTTTAAATCAAAGAATTCCATGAAATATAATATTAATTAATATTTATACATATTTCATAATTTTCATTTATGCTCTTGAATGTCATTATTTATGTATCAAATATATTAGATTCATTTTAATTTTTATACTTTCCACAGGAACAAAAACCTCAAATTATCACGTTATAATGAGATACGTAATTGAAGACTTTTGAAGATTGTCAGCAATTATCGATGAAAGATGCTATGGAGCCACTGGCAATTTCTGCATATTCTTTCCTATTTGCTGAACAAAGTTTACTGGTGATATCTGCTTCTCTTTTTCTGCACATGAAATATATAAATATATAAATATAAATATAAATATAAATATAAATATAAATATAAAGATATAAATATATATATATATAAATATAACAATAAAATATATAAAATTATTAAATATCATTTAATCTATAGTTCAAATATTATATACAAGATATTCAATATACAAAAATTCAATATACAATATTCAATATACAAAAATGTTGGAATATTTTTAAACTGAAAATGAGATAATTTCAAACATTTTACAAATCTTTCGTTATGGTATTTTCGTTATGCTTTATTAACAAATTATTAACAAAAAATACTGCCCAATTACGAAGTGCATAGTCTAGTCGAACGTGACAATCGATGATTATATCCCGCTGATCGAATACGAACAAATCCAAACAACATATCTCAAAGAAAATATGAATATTATATTTATTTATTTATTCATTATTCATAATAATTCGACATAATTTTTTATTGATAAAAAAATATTATATTCAATATATTTTTTTAAAATATGTTGGATTTGTTCATGCTTAAAGAATAGCATGTAACCAATCCTATTACTATAATTCGATTAAGCTACGCGTTTTGTTTGACCAGTATTTTTTAAAGTCGTAATGAAAATTTTTAAAAAGGAAAAAGATTGCTTGAAATTTTTTCAGAAATCTCCAGTTTACGAATATTCCAATATTTTTGAGATATTTTGTATATTATTAGTATTAGAAACTGATATATATATATATATGCATATATTTTTAAGTTTTGTTTATAATTGTATATAATTGAAAAAATAAAAATCATGCACATTTTTCTAAATAAACTAATAGTATTTTTATAAAGATGTTAATTGTTTATTGATAATATTTATGATATTACAAAAAAGTTTTAATATATTTATATTAAATTTGCTATAATATAACAAATTTATAATATATTTATAAATATTATTATTAATATAATAAATAAATTTGGTATTTGAATAATGAATTCTAAATTATATCAATTTTACGAAATTATGATACAATTATGTATAATGATTATGTTATGTTTATATATATATATATATATATATATATAATAATTATATTAATATAATTATATTATATAATTGAAAGAAAAATAAAAGAAGAAAAATAATATTATATGGACATTTTTTTTTTATTTTATATATATATTTATTTTTATTTGAGTAATAATTTTTAGTAATAATTTTTTTAAAAAAAAGCTTAGAATATAAATTGATATTTATTTATTACACAATTACTATTTAATATTTTTAATTTATATTTATATTTAATATTTTTAATAAAGATATTATTTAAGTTTTATATATAATAAAGTACATATAGATTTCAACAATTTTGTAGGACAAAATTATTATATTAAAGAAATATTAATTTAATTTTATTGATTTTCCTACTAATAAAAAATATAATATTTAATTTAAGATTGATAATAATATATAATTTTAATGTAATTTTAAAAAATTTTTAATTTAATTTTTTTTTTTAAATTTTATATTCTTAGTCATTCAAATTTATAAGCAACAGATTTTATTAAAATTCTGTTAGTAATATTTATCTTTAGAAAAACCTTAAATTATATTCAAGTCTAATAACAGATATAGCAATGTATATCTGTTATTACATATCACAATATATAGGAGTAGAATAAAACGAACAAATTTTCGTATCATAATTTGTTATCAAATTAAGAAGAGTTTATCTATCAAACTTTAATGTCAAAAAAGATAATAATAAGAATAGAACTTCAATTTTAAATTTAAATTTTAGCACATAAATAATGTTACACATATCTATTTTATTTTATTGATAACTAATATTAGAATCCATTTTACTAAAAAGAAATATATGAAAAAAAATAAAAAAAATATTGAATTCATTTGTTTTTATTATAAACAATTTAGTTATGCATTTTTATTTAAAATTTAAATAAATAAGTTACAGAATTTATTTAATTTTTTTTATCTTTGTAATATTAGAATTTACATAGCAGATGTTTCTTTGTTCTCATGCTTAATTTGACAACAAGTTATGTTAGCAAAATTTGCAAAATCTGGGAATCTTTACATTATTCAGTTTTTGTCATCCAATTAAAAATGAATATCAATTTATATAATATTCATTTTTTCTACATATTCTCCACACTTTCCATATATAATTGAATAGTATTAAATATGTTTTTAAAATCTAAATCGAACGACTTTGAATATTGCACAAATATATATAAATATATATTAGATTAAATATTAGATCATTTTGAAAATTTTATTTTGTTCCTAGATTAAAAAAATATCCTATAAGATGTCTATATTTTTCACCATCTTGTTATTATTTAAATCAGATACATGTTTATTAAAAAGAAGAATAATATATTTATTTATGAAATATATGAAATATATATGAAATATATATATAATATTTCATAAATTATATGAAATATATCTTATGCTACATGATCTTTTTCATATAAAAATCTTTAAAGTTATTAAATAACTTTATATAACATATGAATCGATACAGATAAATAATTTTCTTTTTTGCAAATGAAAAAATAAGTGATTATTCTTTATTTAAAATCACGAATGTGAATGATGTTAATAATTGTTAGATTTCCAAAATTCATAGGAACAATTATTTAGCAAATAATAAAAACATTTATTTGCCAAATGATTTTATTGAAATAATTAAAAAATAAATATGTTACATATAGTGAAATTCTATGAAATTTGAATGTCTATACTGAAATCGCAAAGTTTAAATATTGAGAATCTATGATGTTTGATGCTTTGAATCTGAGTGAATTCTGTTTATTCTTATCTGTTTATCTTTTATATTTGTATTTTATAAAAAATTATATATTTCTGATCTTGTCTGTCATTTTATATTTTTCGGTATGTCTTGTTTAGTTAGATTTTTCTTCTATTAAGTTCACTAAAGTCTTCCTTAAAGTTTATTTTTTATATATAAAAGATTCTGAATCTGGATCTATTTCCACGTTTATGCTTGTCATTATTTCCATCTTATTAAATAAAGTGTTTTGTCTGGCATGGATCGTTATTATTTTTTATAATTTCATTTTATTATTCCAAGTTTTTTTAAGATTAATTTTAAGATTAAAGTTACAATATATCTATTGAACAGAAACATCAAAGATTTTGACGTTCCTTTTGATAATTAGAAAAAGATATTAAAATAAATTAAATACTAAATGAATTTTTAAAAATAGTAGAGATTTTCAATTGCATCGCTTAAAAAAATTTAAAAGCCCGAATAAATATTCTATATGTACATTTTTTACATATTCTATATGTACATTTTTTACATATTCTATATGTACATGATTTGTAATCTATATTTGACATTCCATTTTACAATTTATAAAAAAATTTCTTCATTATTAAATTTTTAATTGTTATTAATTAAATAAAAAGTATACAAATGAAAAAATAAAAAAAATATTTATGAAGTAGTAGATATCTAAAATTGTTTCTTTTTATATTTTCATCGACAAATCTTCGAAATAATATTGAACTCAAGATAAAAATTTTGATATATTCATATATAATAAAAATTGCTTAAATAAAATTATCTCAAAGTTAATACTTATAGTTTTTATGTGATATTTAGCTATATTAAATTGTATATATATATATTTATTTGCATTGCACTGTCAGGATAAAGCAGATATTTTACTTAAATAATGCAAGTAGAATATCCATTATTTTTTTCATCTTTATCTTACTAATAATACGTTCCATTATTACCGCGATTTTCTTTAATAGTTAGATTTTGTCCAACAATCTTATTCATATATATTTTTTTATAATTTATTTTAAATAAAATCATCGTTTTAAACTTGATTATTGCTCACATTGTTTTTGCCAATAAAGATTTTTGCTAGGAAAATAAAAAATTCTATTTTAACATTAAGATAAATAGAAATATAATTAATATTTTTCTAATAAATTCATTCATTTTTATTTTTTTAATAATCATTTATATATAATATATAAATTATTAAATATATTAATATATAATAAATATTAATATATAATATATTAATTAATAAAAAATAATAGAAGTAATAAAATAAATTCATTGATAATTCAATGATAAAAAAAATATATAAATTTCGGATAGGTTTGAAATTATAATGTTTATATAAATATTTAAAATATTTAAATTGATTTAAATATTATATAATTATTTAAACAAGATAATTTAAACAATTTTTAGTATAAAAAAATTTTAAATCGCAACTTTTAAAATAAGTTAATAAAAATATAAAAAAAAAGGTTTAATAAAAATATAAATGAAAAAAAATGGTAATGATAAATCACAAAAAAAGTTATTAAATTACCTATAAATATTATCATATTAGAATAATCATATTAGAATAGAATTAATACATAACATAATTACATATAATAAAAATGAATTAATAATAATAAAAATAATATCTTAGTTACTTTAACGTAAAAAATGATTGATTTTAAATTTTACTTTGGGATAGCCAAAATTTTTAATTTTTTTTATATCTTTTAATAATTTTTGACATAATAAATGTTTTTAATATATAATTTTTATGATGTATCCAAAAATAATTAATTAACTAATTTTAAGTTTAAGAATTTTTTATTTTAAAAATTATTCATATATAAAGTTAATTTTTATTAAATATATTTGATAAGTTAGGACATCATATTAATTTGTATTTATTTGTTTATTTAATAAGATGCTTGAAAGCGAGTCAATACTTTGAAGAATCTGTGGAATGTCAGGCTTTGGTATAGAGATTGGTATTGAATATTGGTATTGAGATATTTCATTACAATTCATAAAAAAATAGTTTTCCAACTAATTTATATTATATCTATTAATTTCGTGTCGCCATTTTTAACAAAAAATAAATAATTCTATGCTTATATATATATTTTATGTCGTACGTATATATATTGGTAAAATTTTTTGTAGTAGTATTCCTTTTTTGCAAATGTCTCGAAAACTAAATAGTGATTATATGCATAAAAAATTTCAAAATTTTGTCTTTTATAACATATCAAAAAATTATTAAAATCGAGAAAGCCCTTTTTTAAAATAATTTTTTATTTTTTTTTATTATATATATAATTATTAATCAGCTTTAATTTTCGAAATATTTGCAAAAAGTGAATATAATACATTATAGTAGTATCAATCATAATCAAAAAAATAAATTCCAAATATAAAATTTTAAATATTTGTTAATTTTTAAGATATTAATAAAAAAATTAATAATATTACAAAATTAATAATTAAAAAAATATTAATAATAGAATACTATATATTGAATTCTGCCTATTTGTGAATTGAATTCTGTTTATATTTGCGAAAGCGAATTACTATTTCTGTAAAGAAAAACTTCTTTAAAATTTTTATAATATTTTTTAACTTTATTAAGAGAATGAAGTTAATCTATAAATCGACCTATTTTATATCTCAGAATTAATCCTGAATTTAACTTTCATTTCCTTATATTTTTATTCTGCGATTTTATTTATATAGTGACACTATTAATGATAGTTAAATAATATCACTTACCCTCTTCCTGGTAGTTCCATTATATCCACAGTAACACTATTTACATAAAGACGATCGTTACACCAGAAAAAGCACAGCGATCTTGGTTGCAATACATCCATATCGTAGGTCCATGAAAGTTCAACACGCCTGATTTTTCCAAGTGAAGCGAATGCTCCGGCTGGATGGGCAACGACCATTCGGACTGTCGAACCGTGTTCCAATTTCATATAACCACTATGGTTATAAGTGAAAGAAATAAAAAAAATTGTATTATTTTTTGTTGTCGAAACATTATATTTTATTTTATATTTATACATTATATTATACTTTAAAAATAAGAATTATATAAAATCAACAATCTATTAATATAAATCTATTAATATAAATCAATAATTTATTTAATAAAAATTTACAGATTTGTTGATAGATTTGTCGATTATATATATTTAAAATTTTTTATATTTTCTTTATTTTATCTTTCATTATTTATTGATTACATAATAAATAGTATTAAAGACTATTATTTTATATTATTTTTCTAAGAAGAATAAAATAAAAATTAAGTGAATGAAAACTTAAAATTACCTAGGCGTAAGATCAACGTCACGAATAATACCGTTTTCTGCGTGAAGAGTAACTTTCATGAAACCTTGAACCCAGCTCTCTGCAGACGATGGTTGAGCAAGATTGATAGTGATTCTATAATGTTTTCCTGAAAAATGATCGAAATTAAGAAGATAAAAAGAATTAGTTATTAAAATTCATAAAGATCTATAAAAATGAAATAAAAATCTATAAAAACTACCTTTTCTCTGATTTGTAATATCACATGAAATATTGTAAAATATTTTCAATATTTTGAACAATTTTTTTATTATATATAATTGACGGTTAATTTTAGTTTTTGAAATATTTACTATTAATTTTGTCTATATGTATATATCCGTGATATCGACATCTTAACATATACGTATATAGAATGTTTATAAAAATGAGGGACACCTTTAGAGAATGGATTCTAGATATTAAAATAATGAAAAAAAATTCATATACATATATATCCGATAAAGTTTAATTAATGAATTATAAATATTTAAATTTGTATTAGATAAAATGAGATAGTGAAAGAGCGATAATACAGCTGTGCCATATTGGTATGCAACAGTACTGCAGTATTGTCGCTTGTATAGTGGAATTCTTCAATTAAAGTAAATATTACTTTATAAATATTAAAGTAAATATACTAATATTTTTTTAGATACAAATGAATTTCAGTGTAATGTAATATAATATACGTTTATTTAACTTTTTATTTATTAAAATCGAATATGTTTTAATAAATTTCAAAATATTAATACATATACCATTTTAAATTTAGTAATTGTAAATCAATAATAATAAATTAAAAATTTATTGTAAATTAAAAATTTTATGGTACAAGCATTTTATTTAAATCTATAGCTGAATTCTTGTATGACACTCAACCTTCTTATTCACCGAAATCTCTAGGAATAAATCAAAACACTCCCATAAGATTTCAAATTAAAAAAGTTAAATGTTTTTTATATATAAACTTGTTTATTCTTATCATGTACAAGAAAATCATTAATAATATATGAATCAATTTAAATTTCACAAATTGATTATATTTAAGAAACCTTTATTACTATTTCATTTGAATTCAATGTTTTTTATTTCAATATAAGATTATTAAACAGAAAAAAATAATAGTCGAAATTCAATATTTATATTTTGATTATATTATATTAATTTCACGTTTTATATCCACATAAATAAATCATATAAGCACTTTTTACACTAATTATATCTTTCTTTTTATTTTCATATTACTATTACATATTAACAATATTTTTTTTATTCACATTAGTTTCTTTGAAAAAAATTATTTTGATTATTATTTATTATCGTACAATATTATAGGAAGATTATTTAATTAGAACTTTATTTTAAACAAGTATATATTATATATATTATCAAATATATATTATATATCAAATATATATATCAAATATATATTATTTTATTAAACTTTGAACTTAATTCTACAGTAATGATTCTACGGCAATGTTACGGTTACTAAAGTTGTATTGCTAATAATTGAATGTTACTCGTCGTTATAAAAAAAGAAACTTAATAAAAAGAAAAAATGTAATATTCCAAATTAAATGTTATGTTTGTATATATTAAATATATATAAATATACACAAATATATATACAGCCTAAGTTAATAATTTTTTTTATTGTTAAGATGTTATTGCTTTTTTGATCTCGGTTCATTCGTTGATAATTGTATTAGAAATAAAAGTGTAAAAAAGAAATTAGTAAATTTATAATATTCATTCGAGCATATATAAAAAAATATTGTAATTGCAACATATATGCATTTTCTATGAATATGTATGAATGTATTAATATGTAATATTAATTCATATTATTGATTCCATTCATATTATGTGATATCCAGATTGACTATTATTTCTTCCTGTATAAAAATAAGAAATATTAAGTACAAATGAAAAAAAAATAGAGAGATAAAAATTTATCAATGATTTGATTATTTAATAATCTGGAATTCAAATTGATTCAAGTATCATTAGTACTTCGGACTTTCTTATACATATGAAAATAATTAAAAAAGTAATTGTGCATATAAAAGCATATTCAATCTTTCTAATTCGAAATCTTATAGAAATGTATTTTAATTTATTTCTTCAAATACAGCAAGTTGAATGAAATATAATGATTTGATTTATATTTTGATAATTAATTTTTTTTTGAGTGAAGGAAATCCTCATAAGACATTCCGATCTTCCTGGACTTAAAATCCTCTTTTCTGTCGTCTTTGGCGAGCACTCTCAAATTTAGCGAACAATACAAATTTTCGGTGCAAATATAATACAACGATTCATCTATGATTTTAAATAATATATTATGTAATCATCATATTGCAAATATTTTGAAATTTTCTATAATTTGTCCGAAATAAGTTTCTATCAAATAACAAGTTGTATAAATTTTATTTGCATAATTAAATTTTTTTTTTAAATGATATAAAATGTTGCATAGTAATATTACATGATATTTATGTACATTATAATATACTATTGTATATTGTATATGTATATATGTATTACACTAAAATACATTTAAATAGTCATTTGTAAATAAAAAAAATATCAATATATTTATTTTTATTGAAGGGCTCTGCTATATAAGCTATATTGTAATACGATCGCGTATCCATCTAAACGTTTTCGCTCTTTCGCTATCTTACTTTATCTAATACAAACTTAAAATGTTTATAATTTGATAATTAAGTTTTATTGGACATATGTGTATATAAATTTTTTTCATCATTTTGATGTTTAGAATCCATCCCATAAAAATACTTCATTACAATATTTTTTTAAAAATCATTAAAATTGGAAAGAAGATAGCTTTTCTATAAATTTAATGTGAAATGATTTATTGAATATTATTTGCAACATAATGAAATTAAGAAAATTAAGTGGAATAAAACATAATTATGTATGTATGACAAAAAAATAAATTTGAGATTGATTTTCAATATTTTACATGAATTTAGTTTATTTATATTTTAATAAAAAAAAATATATATATATATATATTTTTTTTTTATATATATGAAAAATATATTTTTTTAAAATATTTATTTTTTATAATTGTTTAATTTTAAATTTATTTTTAAATAAAAATTATAAAAGTATATAAAAATTTCTTCAATAGTAATTAATTAAAGAAAATTCATTTTGACATTACATATATATATATTATATTATTATTATATTATTATTATATATATTATATATATATATTATGTCAAAATGAATTTTCTTTAATTAATAACTATTGAAGAAATTTTTATATATTTTTATAATTTTTATTTAAAAATAAATTTAAAATTAAACAATTATAAAAAATTATAAAAAATAAATATTTTAAAAAAATATATTTTTCATATATATATATTATATCATTATTTATTATATATATAATAAATAATAATATAATATAATATAATAAATAAATTATATAATTTATGTATATAAAAGAAATATATAGAAAAGGAAATTTATCCTATATAAACTACAAATACAAGTACATACATATATGCATATATATGCATATTTATGCGTATATTGACAAAATTTTACAAACGTATTTTTACATACATTTCATGTTTATATACATATATATATTGATTGGGCAGTGAAAACAATAAATAAAAATGTACGAGTTTAGCTGAATGAATATATTTAATTATACATGATTGCGCGTATCTATTTACAAAAACATTTGAAGTATGTGTATCAAAGAAAAATAAATAGGTACCACCTATAAAATAGTGATGTTGCTGGCAACATTCAATAATAAAACTACATATAAAATTTCAGTGAACTTTAAATTCTATAATACTCTCGCTAAAAGTGAACTGAAATTTGTTTGTATGTATGTTTGTATGTTTATTATGTTTGAGTTATAGTTCTATGTGTCTATCATGTCTTGATATTCAATCGATTTCTTTGTATCTCAAATACTGTTCTTCTCAGATGTTTTGTTAACCGATCTGCCTGTTGATCCACCAATGCTATATGTTGCAGAAGAAATTCTTTCTCGTTGAATTTGTTTCGTATAAAATGATAGTGTACGTCAATGTGCTTACTTCTTCGATGAAATTCTCGGTTTTTAATAAGCTTGATTGCATTTAAGTTATCCACGTAAAGAATCATTGTAAGGTTCTTGAACATAGCTAGATCATTGATCAAACTTTTCATCCATATGATCTCTTTAACTACCTGCTATGTATTCGGCTTCAGTAGTTGATAGAGCTACTGTTCGCTGATGTGTTGATCTCCAAACTATTGCAAAATTGCCTAGTTTTAATACAAAACTAGTAGTGGACTTCCTCGTTTCAATGTCTCCAGCGTAATCTGCATCGCTAAATGCTTTAATGTGATTATTCTGTTCGGTTGAATAATGAATACCATATTTTGTTGTTCCTTTTAGATACTTGAAAAATCTCTTTACTGCATTGAATTTTATTGGATTTTTCCAAATATTGGCTGGCTTTGTTTACTACAAATGTAATGTCTGATATAGTGCCTATTGACAAATATATTAAAATTTCTACTGCTTGTCGATATGGGAATTTTGATTTTTCCTTGTACACACTTTTATGCATCTCCACGCACAGTTGATGGTTTTGGTCTGCTGGGATTGCTACTGTTAGCATTTTCCATTCGAAATCGTTGCAAAATTTTCTTGGTATAAGCCTCCTGATGCAAAAATATGGAACCATCTGCCAGTCGCTCAATCTGTAATCCCAGATATGTATTTGTCTCATTAGATGTTATTTCAAATTCTTTACGGAGTTCAGCTAACAACTTTTTTTATAGATGATTGGTTTGTTGCACTAATTACTCCATCATCGATATGAATCACTAGAATCAATCGGTCTCGATCGTTTCCATTTGTAAATATGCAATAGTCTGCACTGGTGGATGTGAGACTATGCTTTTTCAGTACCGCTATAAAACAATGATTCCAACATCTTGATGCCTGCTTTAGACCATATAAACTACGATTCAACTTGCAAACACGGTCGGTTCTATCCTCGTATCCCTTCGGTTGCTGCATAATAAATGACTTCGTTGAGTTCTCCATGAAGA